CAACTTTACGGTAAAGAAACAGCTATAACTACTAAAGGGAGGGGGTGCAAAAAGTTTAATTGGTGGTGCATATAAGTGCATGACAAGTACTAACTGGTGCATTACAGTAAATATTAAAATTTTCACTGGGGGGGGGGGGCAGCGTTCATTTCCCCCCCCCCCCCCACCACAAAGAGATGGCTGTAATTACTCAAGAAAGGTGGTACAAAAAAAATAATTAGTGGTGCATATTGGTACATCACTAGTGCATTATGGTGCAATAGTTTTTTTTTGAAAAATATCATTGGGGGGGGGGGGGCAACTTCACGGACCTCTACTTCATTCTATCTCGATGGTTTAAATCCATAGATTAGTAACCGATTGTGAGTAAATAGCCCTCTTACTCAATATTTAATATTTATGGAAATCGACAACTTTTTTCATATCGCGTTAAAGTAACTTTTAGGTAAATCTCTTTTTCTATCTGTTTTTAACCATTCAAGTATACTTTAAGGTCCAAATTTAAGGGTACAGTATAAAAATAAAATCCTTAATGGGCAAAATTGTTGTATTTGATTAATATTTTGCATTAATCGGAGACAAAGGATATCGAATAAACTAAATTGGATGGTTAAATATAAACAGGATAGCTATTCACTAAGTCATGGGAGCGCTCCCATGGGAGTGCTCCCATATATTTTACTCTCTTACTCTTAGGTGGGTATATCGTGCTTACTCATTTTTAGCCCAGGTACATGCGTAGTAAGGTCAGATTTTATACTATGGGAGGGAGAATTGCGGGCTTGCCAGATTAGGTCCGTATTTATCACAAAGCAAATTTGAACTACTAAGGGCCGATTCCACCGTTGAGTTAAACGGAGATTAAAATGACATTGTTAATGTAAAAATATAATTTTAAACTTCGTTTAACACAACGGTGGATCGGTCCTTAAATAGTAGATCAAAGTTATTCTGTCGACTTGGCAACGTTGGCATGGGAGTATGGGAGCATGGGAGTGTGGGAGTGCTCCCATGAGTTAGAGAATAGGTATCCAGATGAGGGGTGTTGCGCACTGTACGTCTTGTCCATAAAATAATGACTACAAAATTAAAATCCGAGAAGTTTAGGCGTTCCTTTGTATATCAAGATGCTCATATATAATTGTAATTCAGTCCTTAAAAAATAAACGTTTTTATGTTTCAAAATAATGTATAAAAAATATTTGTTAAATCTAAGAACAAAATAACAATATCATAATTACAGATTAATTTCATTATTTGTTGCACTATTAACAGATACTCTGCCAGTTAAATAATAGATACATATTTTATTAATAAAAGTTTCTTGTTCTTCTTTAGAGTTAAGTGGAAGAACATTTTTGCATGAACTTCGTCCTTTATTTCTAGTGAACATTTATTTATGTTTAGTGTACAAATATACATTATGCAATTGCTCACTTTTGATTTAAAATAATAAAGACGGTATAAGTATTATCTTGACAATAAATAAATTAAAATTTTATCAACGTTGGTGACCTAGATTTGTACATAACCTATAACAGTTCCAGCGTCGCACTGTGGGCCAGATATGCCTCAAAACACAATCTGATAATGCTGTTTTTGTATTTATATACAGGGTGAGCTAAAAAATGTAGGCTCTTTTTATTTTGTTTTATCTTGCTACTTACTAAAAGAAAAAATAACCTAAAAGATTGCACATATCAAAAATCTCAAATGAGGCAGCAGCATTATTATTTTTTTTTTTTTTTTCATAAATTAATGCAATAAGCAAATCTGTCAAATTGGCATTGCTAAAGAAATTAACTAGGCAAAATGTGACTATTTTTATTTAAAAATGAGTTAAAATAACAACATGGAATTTGCAAATTATTCGTTCTAATTTTGTGCATAACTTAAATGGTTTCTTGTAAACAAAGCCAATTTGGTACGAATGTTGTATTATACTGGGAACTAAATAAATGTATTATTCACGTTTAATTAAATAAATATACATGTAATAAAACAAATCAGGTGTTTACTCAGAAGCTATACAAACTTAATAAAAAAAAATTAACTGTATTCTCTAATAAATTTAGCGCTTCTGGACAAAATTGTTTTTTCTTCAAAATTGGTTTATTTCTAAGACTTGTGATTTTTGGATCCCAAGACACAAGTAAATTGTTGAAAATGTATATATTTGTAAGCATTCTGTTACGTTTTCGTGAGTTGTGTTCCCTAAACATCCTATACTCTTTATTTCGCACCTCTTGGGCTTCTTCTAACAGTTGTCCTATTGGTACTGGTGACGACTCGATGATGGCAGAACCATGATGAAGAATTTTATGAATACTAGTAGGATATAAGGATACAAAATGATTGGCAGTTTCTAAGGTGTATGTATTAAATTCATTTTCCTTGATTAAAAATCCACTGGCAATACTTGAAGAATAATATAAAATCGGTATATTAAGTTGACGTCCAGTCCTGTAATTTCTGATATTGTAAAATTTTGGAAGAATTTTCTGCCACAGTTACCATCGTAAGTTCCAGCTCCCTGTTTAGGTTGGTCTACAATAATAATTCCTAATCTTGATCTGAATTCCGCTCTTTTGTTCTTTAACTATAATTTTATCCTCACCACGCGCCTGCCATTTCTCTAGAGGTAAACGGTAACTAATTTTTAAAAAACATTCAAATGATCTTATCCAAATATGCAAGGATGTTATGCCAAACTTGAGATTTTCGGTTTTTATGGGCTTGTGTAGAAGCTTTTCTATATTATTTATTTTAACAAGAGATGCCCCGCATAAATAACATTTTTGTGACGAACAATCTGTGAATGAATTAATTATTTTGGTATCAATCATGGTCTATGAAGCTGATTTGTTATCTTAAGTGGTTCTGGTTGCTTATTGAAAAATGTTGAAGCTAAAGCATATTCTGTTTTAGGAACTTCTATACTCTCCTTTAAAAACTGCATCTTACAAGGTCGGCAGTATCGCGTAGATGAAGGTGTTAAAATACTCCAAATCACAACTCTATAATTTTTTTAGTTGATAATTCTAAAGGGACCAAGCACGTTAACAATAGATTAGAATCTGAAAAATTGCCATGAAAAGCTTGTTTATATTCCTTTTGGCCTGAACTGCCATCCATACCCCATTTCCATACTAAAATTAATTTTTAGATTTTCCAATTCCAAAGTTAAAAGCAATCTACATGTTGTATGGTCCAGTAACGACTGCAGTTCCACACAAACCGAATTTTCTGATGCAGTAATTTTTTCTGGGTAACACAATTTTTTGGCTACTCGATTTTTATTGTAGGAGGGGTATAAATCTGCATTGTTTTCTTTAGCGGTATTTCGAAGTTGTTGATATTAATTTTTTGAAAGTCTAGCATCTTCAATTTAAGCTAGTGCCCTTTTGTTAGTCAACTGATGTATGATTTTAGGGTTATTTTGTTTTACGGTAACATCAGATAAATGTGACAATCGTTTAGCTTTAGCTGATTTACCTTCTGCTCTCATTTTAATTTGTGACGCAAAAATCAACTCGTCTGTATCACGGTCACGTAATGCTTCAGTCCTTTTGTACTTAGCCGTATAACTTAACTTACTAAAATCACCCTTAAGCTGTGTTTTTTTTTCAACACAGAGGAAGGTCACTGAATTGTTTAACAAATTTTTATATTTTTCCAGAAAAGCTCTTTTTGTTGGTTAACTGCTAACCACTTTTTTCGGAAAGGACTCGAAATTTTTTTTGATAAACGTTCTGTTTTGGATTTGTTTCCTTCCATACACTTTTGACATATTGCTGACAAAATAGTGTTTTTGATGATTGATCGACCCATTCCCGCGTCGAAAATTGCTTTGATTTTGATCTCGTGAACTTTGGTATCTAAAAAGGTAAATGGTTTTGTTTAGTGGTAAGTAGGTTTTATTAATATTATGAGTTTATCTTATGCAGATTACATTAAAATTCACAGTGTCTAGGTACACGCTAACTTGTACGCAATTCAAAAAGTTATATATACGCGAAACATTATATGCGCAAGATCTTATACCTCTCGCCGCTGTATGGCATTCAGCAATAACTATATAAATAAGGTCACAACTATACACAGCAAGGGTGTCTGGATCCCCGAGGGGAGTGCTATGTTCGAAGTCTCCGCTCTCAGAGTGCTGCACTAGGTGTACGTTTTGCCTTCTTTGAGGGTAAAAAGTTATTTTATTTAAGGAATAAAACTTATTTTCCTTTCTTTAAAACAAAAATAAGCACAGAAATGCATATATTCTGTTTTATAAACAATTAATTTAATTCTATGTTTAACCGTAACAGTGATATTAAGCTGGTAAGAATAGATACTATACTGTGATCTTGTCAAAAGGTTGAGAAGAGGATCACTACTCATCCTGGGGAATCGCCTTTTTCATCTTAACTAATGTATATAATTCGGGCGCATAATTCAACGTTTGACGACGTTTCGCGTGTATATAACTTTTTGATTTGCGTACATGTTATTGTGTATCTAGCCTCAGCGATTAAAATTTGCCATGTGCCCTAGCACGGCGCGTATCGGCAAAAATATTTAATTGCAAAAAGAGTTAAAAGGTTCAAGGAAATTAAATATATGTACCCCAAACTGGAGCTCTGCTAATCTCTTAAAATATCGCTATCAAAAAGTGGATAAATTGTTTAATATAAAAAATATTCAAAACCCATCAGCTCAAATTTAATTATAATTTTCAAACTTAAATCTAAATAAATAAAATCCTTATGCTTAAAAGGTTTAAACTTACCTCCAAATAGTTCAAATAAAAAATTTAAACGTAAGTTTTTTGTAGTTAAACTTTCACAAATTTTGACAAGTACGCAGAAATCCTTCTTATTCAATATTTTGAGGTGAATCTGGCCCACAGTGCGTCGTATGCTAAATTTAACTTTTCCCTTCATTATTCTTACACAATCTAAGAGGTTTAATATGTTCATGTATAATATATTGGTTCTCTAATTTTTCAGATTTTGGGCAAGGATATTAAAGATTTGAACGACCACGTGACCATTGGCTTTCCCTATCCAACGACTTCTAAACTATCACACCGTGTTGATTTTCAATATGAAAACACTGTAAATCTCACCTGTGTTGTAACAATTTCAGACGTATATAGATCAGAAAAAACTGTTAAAATAGAAAGAGATAATTCTGTGCCCAATAGATTCAACGATTACTCTTCTATGGCGATGTCCTCTGGTAAGGATCTTTTTTTTATTTATTTCAAATTTATTGAATTGGTTTTTATTCGACTCTATTCCTACCCTTTGTTTTAGGATACAAGTTTTTGATCATGCCAACCTACATAATAAGTATTGTCTCGTCTTTAGTTTTAGTTAACTGGTAAAAAATGTACGTTTAAAACATTACTATGATTAACTGAATAAAATGTTTACAAAAATGCGTTGTGTTTGTATCCTACGTTTTTTAACGACTTTCAAAGGCGAAAGATAACCCCAAGCTTAGTACTCAAAATAGAATGCGGATTGCGAAATTTTACACATGACCAGAAATTAATCATCGTTCTCATAATGGCGAATTTCGCGTTAAATTTAAACTAAAATACCACTGAAAACGAAGAATTTAGATGTAAATGACATTTGCCGTTTTGTTTGCTTCTAAGTTTTAATTGAATCTTTAAAAATCTGATGTGTCCAACACATGACTTTCCTATCTAGTTATTATAGGCTTTTTCCGATTATTTTGTACAACCTATTGCAGCACCTCTATAAATGTTTAGAGGATAAACTAAATATATACATTTTCCACATACATCTAACTCGAAACATTTTTCTATAGATATTCATTGAAAACGAAAATACTGAAAAATTTAAATTTAGCACTTTTCCTTCAATCCGGTCCATTTTAGAAAAATCATGAAAAACAAAAATTATAGAGATCGATATCACAAATAACTTTTATTTAAACAATTTTCCTAAAAATTTGAATTTTATTACATTTTGTCAAATTTCTCGATTACGGACCATTTAAAAAAAAATTGTATAAAACCAAAATTATAGATAATAATATTGTAAGTAATTTTTATCTGAACAATTTTTTTCTCCAAACATAAATACCAGATATATTCCATAGAATATAAAAACGGCCTCTCATAAAGTACCCCCCCAAATGTTCCGCCTTTGTCCAAAATCTAATAATTTCACCTCAGGCATAAATAAAAGTTTAAAATTTAATGTTTTTTCCTTTATCCCTTTTTGAGTTTTCTTCAAAATTCGAAATTTACACATTTTCTCAAATATATCGAATACGGTCCATTTTATAGAAATTATGTATAGTATAAAAATTAAAGAAAATTATATTATAAACAACTTTTATCTAAACAATTTTTATAAAAAAATAATTTTTTTACATTTTGTCAAATAAAAATTATAGATAACTTTTATTTAAAGAACTTTCTTCTCCAAACGTAAATAACAGACATATTTTATAAAATATAAAAATGACCACCAATAAAGTACCCCCCAAATGTTCCGACTCTGCCCATCAGTTCAGTTCACCGCAGGCTGGAATAAAGCTTAAGTTTAAAATTTAGTGTTTTTCTTTGTATCGGTTCATGAGTTATGGTGGACACACACACACACACACACACACACACACACACACACACACACACACACACACACACACACACACACACACACACACACACACACACACACACACACACACACCCCACACACACACACACACACACACACACACACACACACACACACACACACACACACACACACACACACACACACACACACACACACACACACACACACACACACACACACACACACACACACACACACACACACACACACACACACACACACACACACACACACACACACACACACACACACACACACACACACACACACACACACACACACACACACACACACACACACACACACACACACACACACACACACACACACACACACACACACACACACACACACACACACACACACACACACACACACACACACACACACACACACACACACACACACACACACACACACACACACACACACACACACACACACACACACACACACACACACACACACACACACACACACACACACACACACACACACACACACACACACACACACACACACACACACACACACACACACACACACACACACACACACACACACACACACACACACACACACACACACACACACACACACACACACACACACACACGTTTTTACGTATTTATGGAAACGCATGCAATATCCTCAATTGTGGCGCTTTGTAAAATATTGTTACCATTAATGGTTCCTGTTCTGAGGAGTATATAACTCTTTTTATTTTGTTTTTACCCTCCGTAGTTTAGAACTTATATCGAAAAATGATTTATGGCATCAGTCGCCACTATTGGGTAAGGGTAAACGAGTTGCCTTAAATATGTATACATGAAGAAAGTGTTTTACGGGATCTGTGTGAATTGCGCTGTTGCCAAATTAACAAGTTGCCACAATCATTGACAAATCGATTTGAGATGTCCATACCTAATAAAACTATAACCTTAATTTTTTTTTTAAATTTATTAAAATCTTAATAAAATTATAAGCTTCCTCAAATTAACTGAACATAGTCATTTTCTTTCGATTCTTACCAATTTGATTTTTTATGCAATATTTTATATTCTTCCATGGTCTCGAGGATAATAGAGGATATGTTACGAGGCATTCTTAACATTCTTTTTTTGTAGGTACAATATGGTTTCTTATATTTACTTTAAAAAATGTCAGAACTGCTTTAATTCCATCTCTTGACCATGGTTGTGGTTTTCTTTCTTTGTTTCTTTCGAAAAAATAATATACGAAAATGAAAAGTCAGTGTTTTTTAGAGATTCATTTTTAGAATAAATATAAATTTCCGTTTCCAAAATGGACGAGGTAGACAAATTAATTAATTACTAGAACTATTTTTCATGACCTGCCAACAATATTAAGAAAAAACTTAAAACCGTAAAAAGGTATGTTAAATTTCTTGATATTTTTGTTAAAAGTTTGGTTTAAATTAAATGTTAGTGGAACCAAAATGACATCACACTAAAATGGCGTACAAGGAATAATTTTAAACTATCAGAGGATGGACTAACAATATTGTACAAGGGTATCTTATTAAGGGGTCTGTAAGCGGCTTTATCTAAAAATATTTTGAAGGAGAATTTTTTTTTAACAAAACCGAAAAAAATACTGATTTTTATTCCAAAAGGGACACATCAACAATCTTTGCAGCAGAGGCACTTCGATATAGGAGACCTCGAAATATACAGAGCAAATAAAACACACACTTTAATTTAAATTCTTTATAAACGTCAAAAAATGAGCAAGAGATCAAAACACTTTAAACTCTTTAAAAATGACCACCACCTAAGCAAGATGTGCGAAATTCGGTCGAGTTAGTAGCATACGATATGTGTGTATCGTGAGTGTACGTATCAATGATTTATACGAAACGTCAATTTGAAATTTGGCAAAAAGGCGACGAAAAATGAACAAAAATCGTTTTGGTTGCTCAAATATTAGTTTAATAATATTAATTTAAAAAAAAAATAAAATTAACGTTCAATTGTGCTTAAGAGTTCTATTTATCATGTTTAATAATCCTTTCAAATACCATGGGAAATGAGAATTTTTGAAGAGAACATTTTATTATTTTCTTACAAATTATACACATTTCTTTCAAGAAAATCCTCCCGAAATACCACTCGACTGACGTCTCGTGGATTTTAAATGGGATTTTGTTTCATGAAATTTTAGACGTATAATTTCCAAGAAAACAGCAAAATGTTACCCTTGAAAACATGATTTTAAATCACTTATAAAAAAAATTATATACCAAAAATTGTAGGTACCTATATGATTTGTATTAGAAAATCATGAGTATTAAATTTCATAGTTTTTATTAGAAAACGAAAAATGTATACAAAAAATGGCCCTGTTTTCTTCAGAATTTAACGATGAAATTGTTTTACAAGAGAGCGTTTAATTTTTACCGAAACCTCAGTTAAAAAAGTCCAAGGGACGCTAAATTGGTGATTCTGACCTTATCTGCCCTGCGAGGATCGACAAGCAAAATTGTGGCACAAATGAAACGATTTTATTTTTAACGAATTGCGTTGAATTTTTACCTTTGTGAAATATCTGTAACTGTAACGTTTGGAGGGTGGGATGCTCTACGGCACATAGGCGTCTTTAGGCCCATTGTACATCCTCCTAAGTTGTTAGGCACCTCCTAGCTCCTAAGCCAGCCCTCAGATTTGATATAGTTGACAACGTCGTCAAGAGGTGCTTCTCTTATATAGGCCGGTATTAGCCAATTCTCGCCAAACACAAATGATTTAATAATGAGAGCGTCGGGCAATATTTAAGGTAGTTTCATATTCTTACTTGCATCCTCTACCGAGTGCGGATTCTGACAGCCCTATTCCATGGCGATGTTTCCGTGACAGCCCTATTCCATGGCGATGTTTCCGTACTTGGCACTGACCAGTCAGGAGGCGCAAATTCCATCTAGTTATATTCAAGTATGTATTTTTTATGTCAGGATTACTTAAAAGCTCCCTAGTAGCTCTTCAGATTCTTTTTTCATTTCATCTTTCTTTTGTGAAGTATAACTTAAGCCTAACCACGTCGTAGAAAACGAAAAAGTTCTTCACGTGTCACGTTTTGATTAGGATTTCAAAAAAATTATGTGACAATATTTGGGCCCTTTACCTCTTACGCCTGTCCATGTAACAATGCTCCTTCACTTTTTAAGCAAGTATCAGAAAATATTTAAGTCCTCTACCCCTTAAGCCCATACGTGTAAAAATATTTGAAATCTTTACCCCTTAATCTTACGCATGTAAAAATAATATTATGAAGGGTCGTTTATCTTTTTGATCCCAATATCAACTTTAGATAATAAAATTCAAATCAAATCCTTCAAAATATGTTTAAAAAACGTTAAATAATTTGGATTAAAAAAATAACAAATTCACAGTTGACAAGCAGTAAATTCGCTGCCCATGCCGCAGTGTATAAAATAAGCTCTATAAGAAATGTACTACATTTTAAAATACTGATATTTAAAGTACATACTAAAGTTCAAACGAAAATTCTAAAAAATCAATAGGGTTATCAGCTGAAAGAAATGCTTCAATTAAATAAAAACCGTAAGTGGTCAGACTTTCGTTGTAGAGTTATCGTACATATACAGGGTGTCCCGAAATTAGATGATCATATTTGAACATCGTAATCTACATCCTAAAACAGGAGTAAAAGTTCATATAAACATAGGTCCGAAAACATTTCGTTTTCGAGATACAGGAGATACAAGTGAAGTCTTGATGGCACATTTTTGTAAATATTTTC